TGTCCATCAGATGTGGTCTGGAGGTGTTTGGGTTTTTCTGAGTTCCTCCAGTGGGTTTCACCATCTTCCTCTCTCAGCATGTGGTCTTCTTTGTTGGACGCTTGATTGACTTGATGGTTCCTGACATCCCTGAAGAGGTGGAGATGAAGATGAAGAGGGAACACTACATGGCTAAAGAGGCTCTTGCAGAGAACCAGGTGAGCTCCAGTGTTGGGAAAGTTACTTTAAAAAAGTAATTAGTTATAGTTACTAATTACTTTGTCAAAAAAGTAACTCAGTTACTAACCGAGTTACAAGATTATAAAAGTAACTAATTACCAAGAAAAATAACTACTTAGTTACTTTTTTCATTAAAGAATGCAAGAAAAATGGGTTAATTGAACTTACTTAATTTACCATAAATGACTACAATAGTGAAATATAAATGACTAATGACTGGAACTTAATAAAATGTTTTTATAAACCTGAATAATTTAAATAAATAAGCACTTAACAGGAGGAACTACTAACAGGAACATTACACTAATCTAGACTATTAAAAGGTGTGTGATATTTAACAAGACCCCAATCAGCTAAAATTTAAAATTGCAAATAGAAACTCCTGTAAAGGTTCCCGAGCCTTTAAATGGTCTCTCAGTCTAGTTAAATTACAGAAGTGAATGTAATTTTGTACAGTATTTTAATTTTTCCAGCTTCACATAATTGTGTGTTACTAGCAGCATTTCTGTTGCTGCTAATCTAGTAACGGTTAAATAATTAAATAAATATCCTTTAAAGTGACACTAGAAGAGGCACAAGCCTGATGGAGGACTTACATTTACCAACGTGGGTCAGACCCAACCACAGAAGAGCTGAAGCTGGGTGGTGAACACACACAGGTAGCTCTAATAACACCTGAGCTCCATGACGTCTGAGACTGATGCATCAGTGTTACAGCGGGACTAAAGACATGATCAGAAACAGGTTACAGCTGGATGATCTAGGAAGGTAGAAGATCAGGACGTCTGAGCGGTGAACAGGTGAGCGGACCTTCGGGACGTCCCGCTGTCCTGCCAAGAAGGGCACGGCTGCAGATCCACACCTGCAGCCGTAGACTATTCATCACGTCTTCCTCGTTCTTCACGGCCGTGATGCGCTTGGATGAAAACATCTACCTCTTTAGCTCCTGATCAGCTGATGACAGCTTCAACACACCGCGCTGCTTAACGCACACATTTCCTTATCAGTAACAGAAACAACGTTTTGATAAAAGAAGACGGTAATTAATTAGTTTGCTCGTTACAGAAAGAAATATATATATATTTTTTTAGTAACGTGGTTATTTTAAACGGCGTTATTCCCATCACGGCTCTGTTGCGTCTACAGCAGGCAGTGACTGAGACAGTGAGGGTCTCCGCCCACCCGGCCAATCATCATCGTGTTTGTAAGTGCGTTACCGACACCTCTCTCTCCCTGGCTGCAGCTGAAGTGTGGCGGTCAGAAAGCCTCACACTGCTGCTCAACGTTCGACAAGCACATCGTAACGCACAACCTTCCGTCCCCAGTAACGTAACGGAGTTGCAACAGTGGGAAAAGTAATTAATTAGATTATTCCGTTACCCAAAAAAGAACGCTGTTAGTAACGCCGTTATGCTTAAACGGCGTTTTTCCCATCACTGGTGACCTCTGAGTCAACATTTACCTCCAGAGAGAGTTGAGTTTGACCCACTCTTCTGTTCTGTTTCAGTCTCTGGGAAAAACCTTGATTCCAGGCGATGAGGATCATCTGTCAGGCGAGCTGAGACAACGTGGATCCAGAATCTCTCCACTGCAGAAGGACTCCCCTCCACCAATATTGAAGGAGATCCCAGAAGCAAGTGATCCAGCAGACAGCTGTTGACATGAAGCTGAAGTGGACTTCTGCATCCTGCCAGACCATTTACCAACTGTGTCTGACCTGTGAGAGGTCTAGATCTTCAGGAATCCAAATTTAGGTCTTATTCCTCAGAGTTCTCCAAACGTGTCTATGAGATCTTGATCTTTCAGATCTTTGAATGTTTGCAACCATCTTGGAGACCTGCAGGACCATCTGTTTTGTAAGAAAGTCTGCATGTAAATACATTTTTACACAAGTTCATGATGTTGGTTGTTTATGACATTGTTTTAACATTGATTCATGGTTGCAAAGCAGCAAACATCTAAACAGTTTCAGGGCTTCATCTGAAGGAAAACAAAATGTTCTCAGATGCAGGACCAGGACTTGGTTAGTCCTCCTGCTGATCCTATAAACATCAGGAAAGTGGTTTTTGTCACTTAGCAAGGTTCAACAGAAAGACAAGGCCGGACCTAACCCAACACGCTACCCAGCTCCTGCTGCAGCCTATGGTCTTCTCAGGCCTTCATTTCTGCAACAGCAGGGCTGCCAACTCTCACGCACTGAGTGTGGGGCACACACATTTGACCCTCTTCGCACGCTCTCACACCACACCTCCAATCTCTCACGCTAACAGCTCCCCAAACGCGCATCACGCACAGTGTGTAGGTCTTCCCAAAAAATAATAAATAAACATGATATTCAGTATAGCACTAGCTACTGAACCACATGCACACAAACAACACTTAAGTAATAAATTAACTGGCGTTATTTCACACAGAATCCCATCTGTATAATCCAAGCCCCCACAATGCATCTCAAAAACTGAAGCAATCCCAGAAGTACCAAAAATTGCAGTTCCACCCTCATCCACTAGGGGCTGGTGTCAGAAGCGCGCAAATCCTCATTGACTCCCATGTTAAAAATACCAATTTCACAGCAGAAATAAACATGTTTACAGCCTGGTACCAAAACGTGTTTTTAGTTTAAATGATCTAGTTTACACTCATGACAACTCTGAGGGGGGTGAATTTTTTTCTCACTCTTCTGTTTAAGTGTATTAAAAGTCTAAAATTCTGTATAATTAATGAGCATCAGACCCACGTGACCACAGAGCTAGCTCCGTGGAAAGGCCTCAGTAGAGCCTCGGTCTGGCCTGGAAACTGTGCCGGGATTTTGAGTCTCTGTGTTTGTGTATTCTTGTTTGGATATTTTTGTGCAATTGTTGGACAAAATGACTTGCTGTGGCATTAATTGCACTAATAGAGCGTCCAAGGAGGCTCCACTTCATTTTTTTCGGTAAGTAAAATTATATTTATGTATTTTAGGTCACTGCCGAGCTGAGCTTAGATTTTAACATGTACTGTTTAACCATGAAATTTAAATGTAATAGGGTAAAACCCAGTGCATTTAACATAATGCTGCACTTTAGAAAATGGGTTGAAATATAACATGTTGGTGGAGCTGGGTTCCCACTATCGGCTTGTGGAGCTCTCGGAGACCTCTGTGTTCCACCCGGTTTTACCCAGCGGTCAGCCCGGCGTATCTCTTACTCAGAAGCTCTGGTGTTGTGCACAGTTAACTCCGGTTGTAGCTAGGTTGCTTCCTCTGTTAGCTTAGCTCCCACCTCCGCGTTAGCTTTGGGTTAGCTTCAGGTTAGCTTGTAGCTAGTTCGACCGGGTGTCGTCAGTTGATCCCAGCCTTACAGCCCCACCCTCAGCTCCTCCTCTCTTCCCTTTTGTGGAATTGTCTGGGCTTGACGGAACCTGTGACACGGTCAAAATTGCGGTGGTGGCCACCTCCCATTTAGCCTCAAAAACGTGTTATTGGAGTCTATGGAAACCCATTGTCCAATATTGATATGTTGATGGTATAATCCAAGCAGATGTGCTTTTTTACGCTCTGGCTGTGAGATGGGCGAAGCGGTGAGCTCCACCTGCTGTTGATGGGACGGGCAGGCCCGGTTCTTTTTCCCAGAACCGTGAGCTGCAGCTGCGCGCGCCGCCAAAATGACATGCTTTATTTAGAAAAGCAGCCTCGTCGCCAGCCGGTGTTGACAGAGCTTCAGTCCCGAATGTTTCTCTTTTGTTTGCACTCATCATCAGCCACAGATCCTTGCTCACAGGAAGCTGGGTGACTCACTCACACGTTCCCTCTCCTTCATTAGTTGGTGACGCGGTGAATTAAAACATTAGGAATCCTAGTGCGTTTTTCCTGTTTGTGAGACGAACCCCTCCTCCATAACCAGGTTACTGGTACGGAAGCCTGGAAAGGCCAAAATTCCTCAGACGTTTTTTTTCCCTACTGGCTGTTATGAATGAATATAATAGAATAGAGTAAATGTTATTAGACCCACAGTGGGGACATCCACTCTATACAGCAGCACACTTACAGTAAAACTGATTCCAGACATGTTAGCTTGATAACTTCATGCTGATGAACACATGAACATAATCCTGTTTAGTGGATGCAACTACATCATGAAGTTAGCTTAACATGATAGATTTGTTTTACTTTGCAAGAAATAATAACTGGTAATATTATGAATGACAGTGACATGTAGCTGTAAACCTTTAATACAGACAGACAGACAATGTGAAGAAGTTCAGGAGAGTTGGATGTTAAATTTTCCTCACGAAAATAACATTTGTATTAAATAAAGGTCAGTTCCCTCTGTAAAGTCAGAGGTACAGAAGAGGATTCAGGCAACTGAAAAAAAAAGAGAATTCTGACTTTTCCCCAGAAATCCCTGTCAGAATTCCGAGAATAAAAGTCAGAAATCTGAGAAAAAACGTCTCATGATCCGTGGTATTCTTTTGACCCACGACATGCAGAATCAGAGACGGAAACAGGGAGGTAAGAAAATAAATCATTTATTTTAGAATAGAGAACTCAAAGCGCTGCTCAAACTGATGCAGGAAGTACCAGGATGTTCTAAAGGAGAGACAAAAGGTTAATATCCGTGAGAGATGATGGGATGGATAACTGAAGGTCTAGGCTTACTGTAAGGAGGTGGTTGGAGGGCGTGCAGAGGAGCACTGGTTGGTCTTATGAAGATGGGTTGCAAAGGGGTCTTGATGAAGACGAGGTCCAGAGTTCCTGTGTGGTGAGCTTAAAGGGTTAGGCGGTAGGGGCGTGGCGGAGAGCATTGTTACAACCAGGTGTCTAGGGGGCCTGGGGTAACATGGAGGACGCGTGACACAAAGGAAAATTAACAAAAGTTTTATTTACTTTCTCTTAATTCAGAATAGATGACTATTATTATTGTTAACCACCATGGATCTAAATCCACTTTTACCATAACAGGTTCAAACAGTAATATGTAACATAACTCTAAAGAGCACAATATCAAAGTTCTAAGTGGGAGACAACAGACCAGAGGAAAGGCAGCTCTGCACTATTGTCCCCCATTGGTGCGGAGCTCCAGCTGGTCCTTTAAACAATTTGTGGCTGATGAAAACCCAGCTCAGCTGGTGCAGGGAGGAGCAAGGTTGAGCCAACAGGCCATCGTCTGCAGGCAGGCTCCTCAGATGCAACATAAAAATGCGCAGAAAAATGAAATCACAACACAAAAAGGCTCCAGCCGTAACAAGCATACAGCCAGGAGTTGAAGCTGCATGAAGTGGAGCTGATGAGAAGTTCTTGGAGATGGCTGGAGGAGATGATTCCTTGAAGGGATAAGAGGAAGGATTAATCTTGGTTCTAGTCTGTTAGAAATCTGCTTCACGAAACATTTCTTAGTCTACGTTTTAGTCCTAGCTTGACAATAAATTTTTAATCTGCTACCCAGGTTGAGTAATCATCCGGCAAGAGTGTTGAGGAAGTCAGCTTCTTAAATACACCCAGGAGGATGCTTGGAGATGAGCTGCAGCTGGCCGTTGCTCCTGCTCTCCAGACACGCCCGCCTGCAGACTCTTAGACCTAAAAACATGGTGAGAATAAAAACAGCCCATGACAAAACATAACAATTCTCTTTCTTTTCTTTTTTTCTTGTCTTGTCAGTGGCTCTAATCCTCTTCTGTACAGAGTAGAAATAAATAAATAAAATGTAGAGCACAAAAAGTCTCAATACCCCCCCCCCCCCCCCCCCCCCCCCCCCCCGCCGGCGAATTGTCCGCTCCCAACCCCATCTCACTCTTTGGAATGTTCAAAAGTTGGCAGCCCTATATATACCGACTCTGTCTGAATTAATACGAAGTGTGATAATGGTCCCGGAAGCAAAGAACCCTAGAATCTTCTGATTAAACATTCAAAGATCAATCGGATTGATATTTCATATTTATATGGAATAATCACATCTTATTGGTTATAATAATAAGGTTGTGGAATGCACTCCCAGTTCAGATTCGTCCCTGTCGGGTTTTTAAATCACTTTTAAAGACTCATCTGCTCTCAGTTGCTTTTAATTCCGTTTGAGAATGCATCTGTTTTTAGTTGCTTTTATGTCAGTTTAATATGTTTGTTTTTATCATGTTTTTACTTTGTGATGAACTTTTATCTTATTTTTAGAAGTTTTAGGGATCTTCTGTTCTTTTTGGCTTGTTGAGCACTTTGGTCAGCTTTTATGCTGTTGTAAAGTGCTTTATAAATAAAGATGACCTGACTAATTAACATTTTAATTGCTACAACTTTAAATTCAAATTAATTGATGGTTTCAATTAAAATTATATTGCACTAAACTTTAAACTTCATTAAATTATTACAATTTAGAGGGATTGTATTTTAAACTCTATTTTAAACTCTTCATTTTCACACTAAACCAAGTTTAAAGCTAAGCCTGTTGCACCAAACCTTTAAACTTTGATCTAGGAATTACTTTAAACCAGCTAATGAGGATGCTTAACTTTAGTAATGGCTGTATTTTTAGTTATCTATAGCTAAATTATTCTTCCAAGAAAACGGATCAGCAGGCTCAGTCCACCTGAATTAAATGATTAAGGTGGATTTCTGGTCCACCATATCAGTTTTAGAGCTTTTTATTCAGTAAACTTAGCATTGTGAAGCCATTAAAACCAGTTGCTGCCTCCTGTTCTCACCACCGATCCTGAGGCGAGACTGTTTTTTATTTACATACCAGCTCCCCGATTAACGGTGGGCTCGGTCGGTGACGCTTTGGTCCTGCGTGCCTTTGATAAAAAAGAAAAAAGTTAGCCGCAGGTCATAATTTCATTTCGAACCTCTGGGTCGTTAATGTGGTAACCATGGAAACACTCCTGCTGCTGCTCATTTACGTCTCCGGGGTCAGCGTCAGCGTGCACGTGCGCAAGCACCACTACTGTCGATCGACACATAAAGGAACGACGCAGCTCCACGTACCACGTGACTGCTGCGTAGGCTCATTTACATATCTATTGCTGTACGTCTGACGTAATCAAAGGCCAGAACCTATAGACCTCGGACCTGAAAGCACGTCACTCACTTTGTCTAGAAGAGAGAAGCTTGTTTTTGGACTCCCACAAGAAGAATTAAAATGGCAAAATCCACACAGGAATGTTTAGATAATTCGACTTTCAGAATTAAGGAAGGTATGTCTGTTGCAAGCAGATTCAATGTTTACCAAATCCAAAAAGTCACACATTACAGGAAGTTCAGTCAGATTGCTGAGTGCCGAAATGAGAGAACAGGTGAAATTTTGGCAATAAAATTTGTCAAAAAGAAGTTTTATTCTAAAAATAGGAGAGAGGTGAGGATACTGAAGCAACTGAAAAGTTTAGGTCTCCACCAATGCCGCATTGTCAACTTTTCTGAGTGTTTTTCATACCAAGACAGGACCTGCTTTGCCTATGAGAAGCTGGATTCAACCTTTCAGGAATTAGTTTTAGCAGCAAATGGGAAACCTGTTCACCTTATTGAGATCAGAGCTATTGCATATCAAATGTTTGTTGCTTTAGCAGCTCTGCACCACGCTGGATTCACTCACGCTAATATAAAGCCAGAAAATATAATGACTATGGATAAAGTTTCACATCAGTATGGTGTCAAACTGATTGGTTTTTCCAACTCTGCAAAGACATCTGACTTACGTGACTTAAAGATCCCTTTAGATTGTGGTTACACCGCACCAGAGGTGTTCCTGGACTGTCCACTAGACGAAAGCCTTGATATCTGGAGCCTTGGATGTACGTTAGCTTTTCTGTTCTTAGGGCAACACATGAGCCCCGTGGACTGTGAGTATCAGTACATGAGGTTTATCGTAGATGTCTTGGGCCAGCCGAAAAATAAACTACTGGAAAAAGGATGTGAAAGTCGTCGTTTTTTTAAACAAGTGAAGCAGGGGTCTGATTACGTTTGGAGACTCCGGACTCCGAAGGAATTTGAAGAAATAACTGGAAGTGAGGTTAAGAAAACAGATTGCAATAATTTAACTGATTTCAGTGACTTTCTGTTTAAATCCAACCAACCAGAGCCAATAGCTTATGACGACACAGAGGCTTTCATCGACCTTCTCAGGAAGATGTTAAACGTGGACCCGGCACTTAGGATCAAGCCAGCGGATGCTTTAAAACACCCATTTATAACAATGAAGCATCTGCGTTATATCTCAGATGAATTTTATTTAACAGAATCCCAAAGGATTATGGAGGAATTCCAACACAGCGAACAAGAATACACTTATAGTTCTCTTTCCACTCCGAACAGCAACGGAGAGCAGACCCCAGACCTGGATTTTAGTAAGAAGGGAAAGAGAAATTCCTCACATTTAGTCCAGACCAAAACCAGAACAGGAACCAGTAGCAGTGAAACAAAAGCTGAAAAGAAAAACACGCCACACTCTGACCCCAGGAAGAGTTCACCTAATGATGAGAAAGTCCATCCGTTGTTTAGCAGTGAAAGCTCTGAAGGAGCTAGTTCAGAGGACTCAAAGATGGACCTGTCTATCAGATGGGAAACGGATTCCTCAGACACAGACAAAGGGTCGTACTCAACTGACTCAGATAGCACCCCTTCAATATTAACGCCAGGTATGGTAATTATGGGGAATTCAAAGATTTACGAAGTAGAGGAAGTTCTTGGTTTTGGGACGTTTGGAGAGGTGGCCAGGTGCTGCATAGAGGGACAAGATAAGGTGGTCGCTTTGAAAGTAATGAGTAGACAGTACGAAAGCGAATTTTTAAATGAAGTTCAAACGTTACAACTTCTGAACAAACTGACAAATTTCAAACACTGCTTTATGAAACTGAATGACAGTTTCACCTATCGAGGCTTTTTATATCAGGAATTCGAGCTTTTGGATCAAACTTTGTTCGATTATTTCAAACAAAGAGGTGACACTTTAAAGGTGGCTGAAATCAGAGCAATTGCCCAGCAGATCTTAGAAGCTCTTAGTGTTTTAAAACTGCTTGGCATTACTCACACAGATGTGAAACTTGAAAATATCATGCTTGTAAATCATGAAGCACAACCATTCAGAGTAAAGCTGATTGATTTTGGGTTGGCTTTTGAGACTGAACGTTTACCACAGAAGGGTATCATTCAGAATTTGGCATGCAGAGCTCCAGAGGTAACTCTTGGTCTACCACGAGATGAAGCGATAGACACTTGGAGTCTTGGCTGTCTCTTGTCTGCTCTGTTTCTGGATTGTTATCTGTTCCCAGAAGAAAACGAATACGATAATCTGAGAATAATTATGAAGCTCCTTGGTCAACCTGACAAAAAACAACTGGACGAGGGGACTCTAGTCTCAAACTATTTCAGAAAAGATAAGAACGGGTCTGAATGCTCTTGGAGATTTAAAACCCTGAAACAATACGAAAAGAAGAGAGGAGCGGTGTCTGTGAGGGCAGACGCAACCTACGATGATTTAACAACGCTGGATGACTTGTTTTTCTCTCAAAACACTAACAACTCAACTGAAAATGAAGATATCGAAGCTTTTCTTGACCTCGTGAAGAAAATGTTAACAGTGGATCCATCAAACCGGATTCTGCCAGCTGATGCTCTGAAACACCCTTTCATCACGATGGAGCATCTCGATGGCGCTTCAGATAGACGTTATGTGAAAAAATCTCGTAAATTAATGAGAAATGTCCAACCGTGTCATTCAGATGGTGAAAGTGTCATCAGCGAATGCCCCGGGCCCAGTCAGGTGCCAGGTGTTCAAACAGACTTAGAGAGATCTTTACCAATGGCAGAATCGACATGCAGTACAAAATTTAGTTCAGAAGAAATAGTAGCGTTTAATTTAGAAGAAAGCAAAGGAGGAAACGTTACAGAGAAAACTTCTATTGACACCAGAGAGAAGGATGAAGAGCCAATGTGTAGCAAACAGTTATTAGAGAAAACCAGCACAGTAAACACAGAGGAACTGCATATGGATAATCTTTCACCGCACCAATCTAAAGATAGTGAAACATCGTCCGCAGACATAGATGAGACAAACTCAACTGACTCAGAAAGCACATCTTCATTACTAATCCCAGGTATGAAGATTGAAGGCCTTTCAAAGGTTTATATTGTAGAAGAAGTACTTGGATCTGGGACATACAGAGCGGTGGCCAGGTGCCGTATACAGGAAACAAATGAGGTCGTAGCGTTGAAAATGACACGTGAAAGTGATTACGGCAGTTTTTTCAATGAGATGAAAATATTAGAAAGTCTGAACGAACTCACACAATGCGATAGCTATTTTATCAGACTGAACGGCAGTTTCGCCTGTCAAGGCTTTTTATATCAGGAATTAGAGCTTTTGGATAAAGATTTGTTTAACTTTTTGACGAACGAAGGTAGTTGTTTAACGGTGGCTGAAATCCGACCAATTGCCCAGCAGATCTTAGAAGCTCTTAGTGTTTTAAAACAGCTTGGCATTACTCACACAGATGTGAAACTTGAAAATATCATGCTTGTAAATCATGAAGCACAACCATTCAGAGTGAAGCTGATTGATTTTGGGTTGGCTTTTGAGACTGAACGTTTACCACAGAAGGGTATCATTCAGAATTTGGCATGCAGAGCTCCAGAGGTAACTCTTGGTCTACCACGAGATGAAGCGATAGACACTTGGAGTCTTGGCTGTCTCTTGTCTGCTCTGTTTCTGGATTGTTATCTGTTCCCAGAA